CCCAGTGTGCGTTGATTGGCAGCCCTTAGCGCGTGTTCGGGAAATGTTACGCTCCTTCATAACCGCGATCTCTACTCAAATGTCACTTGTTTGTTGCCTGTGCATCTGTAGCGAAGTAAACAAACAAATTAGTAATAAAATTAAAAGCGATAGCTGACCATTCTCCATAACGCGTCATTATTTACGTCTCATACCATAAGTGAATCGTCGCGTTACCAAGGCAACGACTGATGTGTTTGTATCTATGGTTTGTATCCACCTTATTTTCGAACGCGGAAGTAACTATAGGTCCAACTTCCGGTTTTTGTGCGGCACTTCCGTTTCTTCGCTTTCCTGGGCAAACTAACGTTAGCTGAACTAAGTTGGTGAACTATGTCGTGGGAACATTTCCAAAAATCACTAAACATTCTAAAGATCTGCCGCGAGTCTGACACACGGAAACCGCAACCCTCCCAGCTGGCCCAGATCGGCACGGAATGAGAACCGTTCGGCCCGACGGTGGAAACGGCTAATAACGAGCAAGAGGACTGCGCTGAACGGATTTCAAGCAACTACAGACAGACTTTCCAAGCAGGGATATCATCACACGACAGAGTGGTAAGTTTCTTGTTTTAAAAAAAAACAAGAGAAGAGAATTGAGAGACTTCTGCATCGCGCTGTAAAGGTAGGCAAAACTATATTTACATTATTTCGCCATTAGATGGCGGCAAAGACTGTCTTTATGAGACAGTCTTGTCAGTAGTGAAGACTTTTTTGAGCACGGAGAAGCAAGACGCAAGCTAGCAGCTAAAACCCCCCTGAATGTCAAGATATCGCTGAGGATATTCAAACGGATTTTTATTACGAATATAGGACTGACTTGAAGAAAGATGCTATATCTAGTGTAAATACCCTCTCGCAATAATAATATTAAATGAACAATATTAATAATAAAGATATGTTTGCGTTGCTAAGATTGGTTGCTAGGGGTGCTGTGTAGTCGTTGCCGTGTATTATCCTGGCTTTTACAGGATAATACCGTCTGGTTTTATCGTGAAAAAAACCCCACCTATCAGAATGACTGTAACCTGCCGTTTCATAAAGATAAATATACTGCAGATAATAGCTTTATTGGTAAATTATGTTGTATTGCATTTATAATTCCAGTATGTTTTTAAAAAAATATATTTTAGTATTGATAATTTCTCTCATTTTTATAGTTTTTATTATTATTATTGGCTTTGGTACTATTTTCACATTTGTCAAAACTCTTTGCTCAAAAACTCTTTGCTCAAAAGTCTAATATGATCACACTTGTAAAACATTTAGGCTAGTCATTTTTTCAAAATCTAATCCCATGCTTTCATTATAGCACGTTTTCAGGACACATGCTCATCATTTAAAAACACAAGATGATTGTAATATGTAATGAGAACATTTGGTTTAATCACCAAAACACAACAGTATGACCTTCTTTGAGTTTAGTACTTTTAAAGGAATAGTTCACCCAAACAGTTGAATTAGTTGTACACAAAACTGACGGTTAGGTTTTTCCAAGGTTTTGAGATCTCGGTTCGGTTTAGAAAGGTAAATTGCTTTTTTTTTTTTTTTTTTTTTTTTAAAAGTGGTTTAAATAAAAAAAGTGTGCCTTTGTTTTTAAATAAATTGAATTACATTTAAAAATTTTGCAAGGATTAAAAAAAAAACCTGTAAACTATATAGGGAGCCGCACATTACTATAACATTAAAGGTACACAACAGAGCCTAGATGTGTAGCCTAAATTCAGATGCTATTTATTTTTTAGATATAATAATCAACACCCAACACATTGAATGAAAACATGTAAACTGAACCTAAGGCCGTTTTTGCATTACCTTATGTTTTTAATTTGTTATTGAAATATAATAATTGACAGAGTTGCTGTCATTTTCATGAAAGATATTTTAAACATACATTAAATAATCAAAATTAACAGGTTAAGTATATAATATAGGCTAATATAGTAAATGATGACAGGATTTTCATGTTTTGGTGAACTATCCCTTTAACGGTCAGCTAATTTAATAGAAAACAATGCAATATTCATGTTTCAAATCACCCGATTTGAAAAAATAAGTAACACATGCTACAGATGCCACATTAGAAAACACATGTACATCACCTAAATTATGTTCATACTGTTTGTAATAGTATCTGTGTTATCAAAAAAAGGAAAAAAATAGAAAAAAAATAAGAAAAAAAGGGAAAAAGAAAGAAAAGGAAAAAGAAAAAAAGGAAAAAAAATAAATAAAGGAAAATAAGGGAAAAAGGAAAAAAAGAAGAAAAAAAGGGAAAAAGAAGAAAAAAGGAAAAAGGAAAAAAGGAAGAAAAAAAGAAAGAAAAAAAGGAAAAAAAGAAAAAGAAAAAGAAGAAAAAAAGGAAAAAGAAAAACAAGGAAAAATGAGAAAAAAAGGGAAAAAAAGAAAAAAGAAAAGGAAAAAGAAAAAAGAGAAAAAAGAAAAAAAAAAGAAAAAGAAAAAAGAAGAAAAAAGGAATAAGAAAAAAAAGAAAAAAGAAAAATGGAGAAAAAAAGAAAGAAAAAAAGGAAAAAAAGAAAAAGACAAAAGACAAAAGAAAAAAAGGAAAAAAATAAGAAAAAAAGGAAAAAAAATGAAAAAGGGGGAAAAAGGAAAAAAAGGGAAAAAGGAAAAATAGATAGATAGATAGATAGATAGATAGATAGATAGATAGATAGATAGATAGATAGATAGATAGATAGATAGATAGATAGATAGAGTCCTTCCTAGTGAAGGGGGTGGTGGTGGGCATAGATAGATAGACAGACAGACAGCTTATTATAGGTGATAGGTAGGCATATAGATAGATTGATAGTCTAAGTGAACGAGGTAGGCATAGATAGATGGATGGATAGATAGATAGATAGATAGATAGATAGATAGATAGATAGATAGATAGATAGATAGATAGATAGATAGATGATAGATAGATAGATAGATAGATAGATAGATAGATAGATAGATAGATAGATAGATAGATAGATAGATAGATAGATAGATAGAGTCCTTCCTAGTGAAGGGGTGGTGGTGGGCATAGATAGATAGACAGACAGCTTATTATAGGTGATAGGTAGGCATATAGATAGATAGATAGATAGATAGATAGATAGATAGATAGATAGATAGATAGATAGATAGATAGATAGATAGATAGATAGATAGATAGATAGATAGATAGATAGATAGATAGATAGATAGATAGATGATAGATAGATAGATAGAGTCCTTCCTAGTGAAGGGGTGGTGGTGGGCATAGATAGATAGACAGACAGCTTATTATAGGTGATAGGTAGGCATATAGATAGATAGATAGATAGATAGATAGATAGATAGATAGATAGATAGATAGATAGATAGATAGATAGATAGATAGATAGATAGATAGATAGATAGATAGATAGATAGATAGATAGATAGATAGATAGTTTTCAATACAGGTGCACGTTGAGGGTCAGGCAGTCAGGTACAGCACATGCGAGTGCCCAATCGGCAGAGACAAGTGCCATCATATGTAGGGATGGGTACCGAAACCCGGTATTAAACGGGCCCCGGTACTGAATTTTGAAAGACCGCTGTATCGATAAGCTCGGACGTTACCGGTTCTGCTGTCGGTACTGGAGAAATTAAGTAAATACACGCAAGTTGGGCTACTATTTATTATCCCTATAAAGACGTTATCTCGAACATGTTTATATCACCAGCCATTTCTATATATAAACTATATTTTAATTAAACCATATGTCTGTGATGCAAATTTGCAATTCGCAGTTCAGAAGAGAGAGAGAAGAGAGAGAGAGCGATCTCTCACGCAAAGCCACAGCACGCGCAACACGACAGCCCTTGCTTAATGAGTGACAATGAGGACAGAACTAAACATCCAACGTGGTTACACTTTAGATCTGGGGTATTATTCTAATATATTTTGTATTTCGGCTTCCAAAGATTATAAAAAGAAGATATTTGAGATAAAACCGTTAAAAAACGAAACGATCTGTCCAGCTTAACTTCCTTTACTTCACAGCACTGCGGAGCGCTGTCAGTTCTTCCTAAAACCCAAACGTAACCGTCAGAATCAGCACGATCGGCGATTGTTTCAAAGTGCTGTCTTCTACTGTTGCAAGATCAAGAAAATAGCTATTAAAAACACAAAAACCTGCGCAAGAGACGCTGTTCACAAGGCGGTGCACGCTCCGAAACGGACTGCAAGGAGACAAGAAAAGTAACCTATAATATACTTGGGCTTTGTGCGTCCTTAACTATCAAATATACATACACATGTCAAAATGACCAGCTCTGAGATTCACTTAAACACAGTTTATTCACTTAAACACAAGTATGTCTTAAACGGACGTAAATAATAGGGAGAAAATGATGGTGCATCAGTCCCCATTATCTGCACTCGGTCTTAAAGGGGCAGCAGTCTAATAGCCTAAACCTGCTGACGATTCAGCCATTAATGCAAATCAAACAACAAAAGGCAGAGAAAATCACTCACAGCCTTTGAATGAGTAACTTTAGATTTAATAAGCATTATTCTATCTATGATAAACTACAGTGCTATTTTATATTTGATTAATAGGTTTCTTTTCAGACAGAAACAATTACCTGACAAGATATGCTAGTAGACCTTCCTGAAATTAAAGCACTTTGTATATAATTTGTACCTTTGATTAATTGTATTCTTGTGTTTGTACTTGTTTTTTTCTTATGTGTCCTTTTTGTATAAACAAAAAAAGCCTGCACACTGCTGCATAACAAAAATATATTTTTCTTCGTTTTGCTTTTTATATTTTACATTTCAAAATATAAAGTTTAATTATGTTCTTAATTCTTAAAAAAAAAATAAAAAATAAAAAACACCAAAAAGAACCGATAAGAATACCGTTAAAGTACCGGATCGATAAGCGGTATCGGTAAGAGTAGTAATACCGATAAAACCTTAACGATACCCATCCCTAATCATATGGCAGCTTTGTTGATTTGGGCAGAAAAAAATGTGTCCCGCACCGACGTGGAATGTGCGTGGAAGAAGGCTAACACTCCGAAGGGGGACGAAATTGCAGCCAAGAGAGTGTCTGAGATGAGATGACACCATCCACAACACAAGGTTTGTCATAAGTTTGTTGATGTTTTGGGGTTTTAATTATTTTCTTAACTACGTAATGTGGTTTAAAGATATCGCTATAAATATTAAAAGTATTTATGAAACTCTTCTAACATAAACTCACTTTATGATAATTATGATCATAAGCTTTATCACCATATTGAAATTGACCAATTGCAAGACATTGAGGCGGAGATGTACTGTACACTGTGATATTTTTTTTAATGCTTAGATTGTGTGCTATAAATAAATGATCCTTACTCATTTTATTCATTTCATCATTATAACCAGTTGTATACCATTTTTTCAGCCGGCATCAAAAGACCTGTCACCCAGGAGGACAAAGAATGGATTCGGGCATCCCTATCGAAGCTTGGGCGTTTTACAGGGATGGTGTGGATTTTGAGTCCAGAACCGCCTCAGGTAAGATTTTTACTTTGGTACTTTCATGTTCCCTTAAAATTAGCAGAAACATCACAACTACACTACATTAAATCAATGGCTATTTGGTTAGGGTTTTGAGATCCAACACAATTTTGTACAAAGTTATATGTTTAAAAATTTCTTGAAATTTGAACCAGGGGTTTCATACTGTGTAATATAGTTAATAAGTAACATTACATAATTAAGGCTCATGAAAAATTTGGCTAACTACACATATGTATGTATGTATGGAAACCATTGCTTTCATTTCAAATGTATTTTGTATACACTATGTGTATGTAAGTGGTATGTGTGGGGTTACCACACTGACTTCACAACTTTTGCCTAACTTTACAGTTTTTTTTATTCGCTTTGGTACTATTTTCACAAGTAAGGTGTACATTTTCAAAACTCTTAGTACAAAAATCCAAACTGATCACACTTGTAACGCAGCTAGTCATTCTTTCAAAACCTGATGTAATGCTTTCAGTCAGTTGCACATGTTTTCAGTCCACATAATCATTATTTCAAACACAAGATTATTGTAATATGCAATGAGAACATTTGGTTTAATCACTGAAACACAACAATATGATCTTCTTTCATTTTAGTACTTTTAACAATCAGTTCATCTAACAGCAAACAATGCAAGATACATGTTTCAAATCGGCCTTAGAAGTGCTGAAATGAATATGCTACAGTACTATGAAAGACATATTACACAGTTTTACTGTAACATTAGGCAATGCACTTACAGCACCCAACATTTACATAATCTATAATTTCCAAATATCCATCATGTAATCAAGTGAAGGATCAATTAAGACATCCTCTACAATCATTTACAGTATATAGTGGCCAATTGTGGTTACCACTATGTGAAATCAATTAGCTATAATGAGTATTCATCATGTGTCGTTACATGTAATTTACTGTAAATTTTCATACAAACACACATTTTATTTCTGTAGTTCTCAAAATCCATATACTGTATATTGCTGAAATAAAAATCTATAGGTTTACCAAATGATTAATTGATTAACCATTAAGATCTGTTGGATTAAATAATAGACAAAAGTATTAAACTGAACAAAAAGAGATGCAAATCAAAAGTTTGATAGTAAGAGCTTTATGAAAGGCAGTTACTGTGAATGAAACAATAATGTAGATGAAACACTTATTTTGTGTTGTGAAAAGGATACTTTGTGATTGTGTGAATTGTACTAACACAGTTGAAAACATGATTCAATGTTTGAAAAAAGTGCACTTTTGATGATCTGTTGTGATATTAGCACTAAGAGTTTTGAAAATGTACACCTTACTTGTGAAAATAGTACCAAAGCGAATAAAAAAAACTGTAAATCTAGACACTCCCGATCAAGATTTTTGATGGGCTGGTGACCAGCCCAGGTTTTGTCCAAGCTGAGGACAAGGCTTGCTGTTAATGATCAGGAGAAACAGCAGATTGAGGAAGCAACAGTTGGCCAGGCTAAAAATGCATTATGGTAAGAAAACGTACTAATGAATACACCCCTGTTCTAAGAGAATGTTAGTTGCTTTCGATAAATGTACTTATTGTAAGCTGATATGGATAAGTGTCTGCTAAAGGCTGTAAATTTAGAAAGTGCACTGCAGAATGTTTTTATATGAAACTATATTACCAATTGTTGAGCAAAATTGACCTTTCTTATGGTTGGTTTCTTTTAACAGGTTTGCATATCGCAAGAAAAGGATAACAGCAAGTAACTTTGGTTTGGTCTTGGCAGCAGTCAAGCGGAAGTCTTACTCAAAACCCTGCTTGGCCAGTACAACCTCAAAAAAGAAGGATCTAAAGTAAGTTGTAGCTAATAAGTGAATATTTCAAATGAAGGCATCTGTGTCTAAGAATACACTTATTAAGACTAAATTGTGTTTGTCCCCTCCCGCCAAGGCATGTGATTGGGGAATCCTGCATGAGCCAAGGGCAAAGCAGGAATACACTGAGCTCACTGGTCTTGTTATACAAGGGGAGGGGACTGTTCCTGTTTGATAGCGGCCTGCTTGGTGGATCTCCGGATGGGACGGTGTTTGGAAACTGCATGATTGAAGTCAAGTGACCATGGTCAGCCAGAACCAAGACGAGTTGGAGTTCGATGAAGTGGTTGGTTCTCTGACGCTAAAACACACACACAACTACTGGCATCAGATCCAAGGAAACCTGCACCTGTCACCTGGTGGTGTGGACTCCTCTAGACTTTGTCCTTCTACCAGTGCTCAAAGACCCTTCATGGGCTGTGAACATTGACACTCTGGAAATATTTTATAAAGATTGTTTCCTACCATACATTCTCTCACAGTTGTAAGTACTGTCGAACTTGTCTCGCAAATAAATGAAAATGTGACATTTCACACAAGCCAGGTAATTTATTTATTACACATTTATTATTAATTCTATATTATATCACAAATATTACATATTTATTATTATAGTTTGTAGGCTCTTCACGCTACACACACATAACATAACTAAAGGTAACACCTTTATTTTACAGTGTGTTACATTGGTGGCATGTACTTGTAAATGATGCATAATTACATGCAACTAACCACAATCCTACCCTAACCCTATAGTAAGTATGTGTAGTTAGTTAATATTACTCAGAACTTCAATATATAATTACACTGTAACAATGACACCATAAAAGGATAGTTCGCCCAAAAATGAAAATCCTATCAGTAATTACTCTCCCTCATGTTGTTTAACCCCGTAAGACTTTCGTTCATCTTCAGAACACAAATTAAGATTTTGTGATTAAATCTGAGAGCTGGATCACATATCTTAATTTGTGTTCCGAAGATGAACGAAAGTCTTACATGGTGATGGTTGGAACAACATGAAGGAGAGTAATTACTGACATAATTTTTGGGTGAACTAACCCTTTAAAATAAAACTATAAATACAGTTATTTATATACAGACATGAATTAAACCCAGAAATTCATGTATATACAATACAGTTAACCTATCCAATTTCACGAAGAATGGGCGTTTGTAAATTTGTAAGACACACACACACTTTCAGTATCTTGTTTATATTTTGTTTGAACTGGCATGGAATGTGGTCCAAAATGTGAAACTATTTCAGTCGCTGAATAGATCGCTCCACATGTAGCAACAGATCTTTTTCTTCATATTGTGACATACATTTGAATTAATGGTTTATCAAAAAAGAAAACAATCAGTTATATGCATTGGTTGTTGATTGGAGGGAGGCAAATCTGAATGAGAGACTGCAGATTAAAGGGGCGTGGTTTAAGCAGACTAAATGATTAGAAAAGTCTGCCATACATCATCAGAGACAAGTCACCAGAAGATTGAGTTATGAATTTTTGATTAAAAAACAGCAAAATTTGTAAAAAAAAAAAAAATATATATATATATATATATATATTTACATATAGGAAATGCATGAATCATTTATTCAAAATAAGATGGTTGAATTTCCATTTCATGCCGAATTCAGCAAATTCAAGCAGTTCATTTTCTTTAATAATATCTAATTATATATCAGTGATATTTTTTTCCAGTATGAATATATACGCACACATATGATTCTAAAGTGCACTTTTTTAATTACATATAAGAATCAGGCCTGTGTGGGTCATTAAAGTTCAGCTCAAGGCCAAAGGAGTTGAGCAAAGATAGCAGCAGTTACACTCTTAATTAGTTACACTATCAACTGAAGAGAAAGGGCAAGGAGAGCCTTTTTACCTCTTGCTGTGTGTGTGTGATGCCTGGCAAGAATTAAATTTGTGTTTCTTAAGGAGCTGGCCTAGAATCAGCAGACAATGTTTCACTGCTAATTTCCAAGTGTAAATATTGAACAGTGCACAACCAAAGATAACCCCGCGGTACTCATATTTTCTAAACATACAGTTATTGTTAATTTGATTTTTTTTAATGCATCTGCAAATTACAGAATATTTCATGGTACTGTAAATATAATAAAACAGTTTCACACAGATTTTGATTACATCCATATCTTGTTTCCGCATGGGGTTTTCTTTCTTTTAAGAACACACTGCGTCAGCACACTTAGGAAGGTTTAATAATTTCAAATGGTATTAAATTATCCCCCAGCCTCCTTTTTACACAAATGCTTCTGAAGTTGTACGAGTCCAAGTTTTCTTTGCACTTATAAAGTGGGGCCGAGCCACAGGCTTCAAATATTAGAAAGCAATTTGAACAACAGATGCTGAGGTACACTCAGAAAAAAAATGTTCAAAAGCTGTCACTGGGGCTGTGCCTTTTCAAAAGGTACACTTTTGTACCCAAAGGCTGCATATTGGTACCTTTGTGGTACATATTAGCACCTAAAATGTACATAGCTCCTGAAATGGACATATTAGCACCTAAAATGTACATATTAACACTTAAAATGTACATATTAGCACCTAAAATGTACATATCAGCACCTAAAATGTACATATTAACACTTTAAATGTACATATTAGCAACTAAAATGTACATACAGTAGTACCTAAGATGTACATAGCACCTAAATGTACATATTAACACCTAAAATGTACATATTAGCACCTAAAACATACATATTAGCACCTGAAATGGACAAAAGTTTACCTTTTAAAAAGATACAGCCCCAGTGACAGCTTTTGTACCTTTTTTTTTGAGAGTGTATAATTTAAGCGCTGGCTTCTCTCAATTGTTCTTGTTAAATATCTCAGCTCTATTGCAGAGCCAGAAATTCCAAATAATGTGAATGAAGGTAGTGATCGGGACCCCAAATCCTCCCTGATCCACCAACCAAAGAAAAAGAAATCAATAAGACCAAAAAGAAACCACAAATTCTTAGCTCCTTAATTAAGCAGTGTCAATAGCAAGACAAAAAAAAATGATACACAACCAACCAAAATAACAGAGTGCAGTAAACACAGTGCAGCGTTTCTGGGTTCTATGTCGGAATGCCGACTCATAAGGTACACCTGTTCAACTGCTCGCAAATATCGAATCAGCCAATCGCATGGCAGCATCAATTCTGAATCGGACATTGGCCGAATCCGAAATCGTACCCCATACCTCAAATAGGGCACTACTTGAAAACATAGTGGATGCTATGAAATGCACTAATTCAATCTGCACCGCAATAACGAGTGAACAGTCGATGTATGCTCAGTGGCTGTCCAAATTCGATCACTTGTTTTCATTTACTCCTTCAAGTGAACTGTAGAAGACTACAGTATGTAGGGAATATCAACTTCAATCAACTGTCAACTTATTTATATGGCACAACAAAGACAACAGTAGTTGAACATTGTGCTGTACAGCAGAAAAAATATCTTCAAAACAAGACCGACCACAAAGCAAATGATAAAAGGGAGTTTGACAATTCAACATTAAAATCAAGGACACTTGTAAGCCAGTGAAAACAGGTAGGTTTTAACTTCGATTTAAAAACAGACTCTGTGAATATTAGTCTTAAAGATAGAGGAAGAATCTTCCACAGTTTTGGACCAACAACAGAAAATGCACGGTCTTGATCTTGGAGCCATCAACAATCTTTGTGGAGATGACCTCAATGATCTAACAAGGTCTTTAATTTCAAAAGATAAGAGAGATAGTTTGGAGCTAAATTATTCATGGCTTTAAAAACAAAAAGCAGAATTTTAAAACCAACTCTATAACAAACTGGTAGCCAGTGCAATGAACGCAGTATTGGGGTAACATGATCAAACTTCCTTGTGCCAGTCAAAATCTGGCTTCTGCATATTCTGAACCATCTGAAGACGGCTAATATTGGATTGACTCATTCCAATATAAAGAGAATTACAATAGTCAATTCTATAGGGCATTTCAGAATGTTTGTAAACAATAGGCACCGTGATACTTCCGGGTGGCAGAACGCGAGCGACTTCCATTGACTAACTGAAGAGATCCAGCCGGCAACTGAACAGTTACACAGTTAAAATCATTGTTGTTGATCAAAGTTGAATCTATGGCGAAAATATGTTGTGTTTGGGGTTGCGCCACCAGATATACAGCAAAAGGTGTAGGTTTTTTTATCGATTTCCTTCAGAAAAAAGTAAATCTATCCAGCAGAACCTGTGGGTGAGGAGGTTAAAGCGAGTGGACGTCGTCATGTCGTCTTCTAATTATGAGCCTGAGCCCGATTTAAACCCAACCATTTTAATACGTGGGTCGTTATATAACTGACGTTCTCAACTAACTTAGTTATTTCTATTACTTTCTATGTTACTTTGTTTTGAGCGGTGAGTAAATGCTTCTTCATCGTAAATGCTTCTGATTGGCCATTGCGTTCAATAAATCAACACATATGTCTGTGATTGGCTACATCGCTCATCGCTGCAGTCACGTTAAAAACAGAAACTCTGCCATGTAAGTCATTTCTATTTTGTTTTAGTTGTTCTTGTTGCTTTTCTGCAACAGATAAATACAAATGTATTCGTTTTTATTTGTTTTATTTATAGATATTTCTAGTTTGCGGGAGTCCCGCGAATCGTTTTATTCTCCTGCAATCCGCACACACAGAGTGCATTACCGCCCGCACTCGGCCATCAGATCTAGTCCCGCGCCGCGGTCTAGTGCGTTGGGAGTGCACGTCTCTAGATCAAAGAATCTAAGCTTTAATGATCATGTTAACTATGTCTGAATTTCCACCACGTCTGTTCTTGAATCAACTGTTGAAATGTAGATTAGGCTTCTGCCGGCGGTGTGTCTCCCTCCATGCAATTTACTAGTGTTGCCATAGGGACGCTTCGGCTTTTGCCACCCGGAAGAACGTCTATTATTGTTGTGACGTCATGGTGAATTGTCGTATATAGAACCTTTTCTTCTAAGAGTGTTAGCCTTAGATAATAGTCTTAATTGGAAGAAACTGATGTTATCGTTTTTGGTACCTCAGGTGTTTCTATTACTCCCGATGGTCACCTGGGAGATTTGGCACCCTACACTGTCAGAAAAAGGTACGAAAGCTGTCACTGGGGCGGTACCTTTTCAAAAAGGTACACTTTTGTACCTAAAGGGTGCATATTGGTAACATAATTGTACAAATATGTACCATGAAGGTACCAATATGCACCCCTTAGGTACAAAAGTGTACCTTTTGAAAAGGTACCGCCCCAGTGACAGCTTTCATACCTTTTTTTCTGAGAGTGTATAACACTCAGTGACAAACTTGGGTGTTGATTCGGCTCTTTAAGTGCCATAGTTGAATCTAGTTTTTCTCTCGTTTACAGTAGATGCAGAAAATTTAAGGAAAACCAGGACTTACAGTAACATCAGACACGCAGGCTGATAATAAGCTTAGGCTCTTTTCATAATTTTTCTTTAGAGGCAGATAAATCTGGGTGTCATCAGCATAAAAATGGAATGACACCCCATATTTAGAGA